GTCGGACGCTTAACCAACTGAGCCACCCAGGCGCCCCTGAAATGAATATTGTTAAGATGATTCAGTAGTTTTTGAATTTAGCTATACCTGCACATATAGCAAAACAAGCTGGTACAGTTTTCCAGGAAGACTTTCCTTGAGATAACTTCAACAAAAGAGAAAATCCAGCTGTATGGGTTACTTGAGATAAAAATGCATTCACACTTAGTCAAAGGGATGACAGAAGTGAGGTGCTAGTTAAATGTCTTAACTATTAAATGATGGCTCTAAACCTCCGTACTCTGGCAGGAATGGCACATAGAATTCGTTTGCAAACTGTACCTTATGAATTGGAGTGGATTGCAGAGGCCTATCAAAAGCAAATGGTATGAGAAGCAAGATCTCAATTGTTATCTGTGCTTTTGGCTACTGAACCAGTGAGCCCTCTGGCTGACTTGTGCTTCTCCAATTCTCCTGGGATTTCATGCTCCGTCATCCCTGAAGGAAAAGAGTTAGAGTGTAGAATCTGTTGACATCTTGTTAGTTCTGGAGGAAGAGGACTTCTGAAAGAAAAGACAGCCAAGAAAGCCCCCGTAGGAATCAAAATGATTGGCCGTGGAGCAGTTTTATGTGTATGCGAATCTTTTCAGAAAGGAACCGTCTCTGTGTCCCCATTTCAAGATTTCCTGCTAGAATCCTTCTCAAAACTGAGGATGCTACTAAAGGTCATTCCAGGACAACCCCAAGGTTCAAGTCCCCTTGAAATACTTAAAACCTGCTCTCAAGTACTTGAAAAGTCTGTTTTCCAGACTAACCAATCCAAACACTATCACCAAATCCTTAGTACTATAGGATTTGAATGCCCTTCCATTTCTAAGTCCTTGTCTGTCTGGTCTAGTGACAGTCTAGTTAACCTATTTCTTTCTTGAAGATGGGCTCCGAGGAATGAGTGATTCTTCAGGGACAGTTCACCAGTACACAGCTAGATTGTCTATTCTCTCCTAGACTCTGTGAACATATTTCGATTTGATAGTGCATGAGACATAGACTGCTAAGGAGTCACCCGGTCCTTCTTGAGACAATACAAGAAATAGGTCGGACTTATTAGAAATGTATAAATAAGAAGGTACAAGCTCAACTAAGTTCTGCAGACATGCAGATAACACAAGTGTGATGCCATCCAGTGACCATAAAGAGGGATAAGGATTGGGATAGTCTGGAGAGCACATAGCATCCTTAAAGGCATGTAGCTTCTCTTATGTCTTTAAACATCCTGTGGGACAAATAAAGCACTGACTTCACCCATGGTCTGTGGCTCAGGCTGATGTATGGTGTGGCATTAGCAGCCACACATGGAAAGTTGGACCATCCAATGTTCTGATTGTTCTGAGCAAAATAAACTCTTTTGGAAAGAAAGCAGTTCATTACAAAATGAGCGGCAATTGCCTATTTTAAATCTTTCAGGAATAAAGTTGCAAATGCTCCTAAAACTTTATAACACTTGGATGTTGGTTGAGATCTCTTTTCCAAAAGCTAGAGATTATGTTTATTCCACATTTATTCCACAAATATTTATTATTGATAATAATGCCAATATTTATTTAGTTTACCATTTGACAGGCACTATGCTAAGAACTTTGTGCACATTATTAAAAATAATCCTCACTAGGGTGTCTGGGCAGCTCAGTCAGTTAAGCATCTGACTCCTGATTCCAGCTCAGGTCATGATCTCACTGTTTGTGAGTTCAAGCCCCAGGTAAGGCTCTGTGCTAACAGCACAGAGCCTGATTGGGAGTCTCTCTTTCCCTCCCTTTCTCTGTCTTCCCCTCCCCCACTCTCTCTGTTTCTCAAAATAAATAAATAACCTTAAAAAAATAATCCTCACAAAAAGAAAGTGAAATTGGTACTGCCCACAGCTAGTAAAATGCAGAACTTTGCTACTGTTCTTTCTCTACCTGTCCCTTTTTCTGTTTCCTAGTGATGACACACATTCTTTTTACCATAACCCTAGGTGACAGACACAACAATCCTTCGAAATGCATTAAAAATTTTGTACTGATTTATTCAGTGACTGCTTGTAGACTGGCAGGAATAAGAAACTCAACTGATTTGTTTTTAGAGTGTTTTCCCCCCCAATTGACATATATAGTCTTCTTGTTAAAACCTCTTCCCCTCATATTGTAGACAGAGCTCGGCTGGAGAGTCAGGCCTTTTCCACTGTGAACTGCCTTGCTGCTGGGCAGGAAGAGCTCATCCTTCTTCAAGAGAAAGTCAAGAATGGGAAACTATCTGTGGATGAAGCCCTAGAGAAATTTAAGCATTGGCAGATGGGAAAGACTGAACTGGAAATGATTCAGCAGGTAATAATGACCCCAATCCTTTCTGGAACATTCACCTCACTGGCAGCGCCTGTCTGTAAATGCATAGTCTTTTTACAAGAAACACAGGTAACTATTTGTTTGATTTTAACTACCCACAAAAAAAAAAAAATGTTTTCAAACTACCAATTAAATGGCTGCAAACATCCAGATTTCATGTTTACAAACCATTGGTGAACTCAATTCTGGGACCCACTATATCAGAGCTAACACCTAATCACCTTATTAGGCTGTTCTTAGTATAGTGAATATTTTATGAATCTCGTTGCTGATATTAAGGTGAAGCATCTTTACATTAACACGTGCTCAACATTCTGAAGAGTGTGTTATGTGGACCAGACTTAAAGGGAAGAAGAAAATGATTTAAATCATGTCAGGCAATATTCCTCAACAAAATATAACAAGTTTTCTCTCCTCTTCCCCTTAACCTTTGGGGGGGGGGAAGCCCATATAAAGTCAGGATTTATAGAGATATGCTGCCAAGCATATTAACTTCAGATAAGCTTGTCTTCTATAAATAGAATGTATATCTTGAGAGGGTTTTAGAGTAGGTGGCTCTGAGATGAGACTGAAAACAAAATATACCATATACATCCCATGACATTCCTCGGTGAGGGGTATGAGGACTGTATTCTGTTTTATCCCACAGGCTTTCCTACTCCCTAAATAGTCCAACAGTTTTTCCTTCTCATCACAGAAAACCCCAGTGCCATAGAAACCAGTTCTCAGGAACTGTTTGATAAAACACATTTAATTAGCTAGGTTAGGCCGAAGTACAAATAATCATTAATAGCTTAATATGCTACCTTTCCCAAGGGATCATTTTTGTTGAAAAACAATGCATAGGAAAACATTTTTAAAGAACAGCAAAATGAATCCCAATGATGAAACTCCAAACAAATGTGGCATCTAGGCAGAAGGTAGTTTAGGCAAGGGACTTTCCCAGCTCATCTGAGATCACTTCTTCTCAGAAGCCACCGATCTCGAAGGGCAGCTCTGGTTGTGTGGGTGGTGGCTGCACCTGGGCCTGTTTCGCCAAACAGATGCGAAAACATGCTGATTGTGCAGTTCTGCAACTGATCTTAGTTCATGATCAGAATGACAGTGCTGCTTCTCAGTCTGGGCCAATGCCATCGCCATCAAACAGCTCTCTTAGCCTGAAACAGATAAAATGTGCCTTAGTGCCAACCTACACACCCACTCTCCTAGCCTTGTTAGCTTGCAAGTTCTGCTGAAAATAAGCCCATTGTACTTCACCCTCCTCAGATCATAATAAAGCTTACAATTTAGAGGAATCCAACTGAAATACCTTCTTGAAAATTATCTCACTAGTTGTTTTATGAAAGGCTTGGTTGTTTTTAATTTGTGTGTGTGTTTATATTTAATATTCTTTTAGAAAGAAGTTAAGGCGGTCTGTTAACTACTTTTAGACTGATCTGACTTATCCAATATATAGGGAGAATGGGATAATGAATATAGTTACTGTTTACGCAAAACAAAACAAAATTTAACCTGTAAAGCTAAGGAACAGGCACTCAGCCTGCTTTCCATAAAAGCCAAAAGTTCAGTAACTTTGACTGAATACTGTTTAGTGAATCAGTCCTTTTCTTTTTTTTATGTTTCCAGCTTTAATGAGATATCATTGGATAAACTTAAGGTGTACCGCCTTATCGATTTCACACACTTACATATTGCAAAATGATTACCACCGGAGTGTTACCTAACATCTCCATCATATCAAAAAATTATCATTTCTTCTTTTGGGTGAGAACATTGAATATCTACCCTGTTATCAACTTCAAGTACATAATACAGTATTGTTTAGTATAATCACTGTGTTGTGCATTGAATCGCCAGAACGTATTTATCTTACAACTGGAAGTATCTACCCTTTAATCAACCTCTTTCCCTCCACTTCCGGGTCACTGGTAACCACCACTTTACTCACTGAGTGCAGCTTTTTTAGCTTCTGCATATAAACAGTATCATACCATGTTTTTCTTTCTCTCTCTTTTTTTACCTAGCATAATGCCCTCAGGGTCTATTCGTGTTGCAAATTGCAGAATTTCCTTCTTTTTCATGGCTTATGTATGTAATCACATCCTCTTTGTCCATTCATCCATTGACAGAAGCTTAGGTTGTTTCTGTATCTTGGCTACTGCGAATAATCCTGCAGTGAATATGAGGGTGCAGTTATGTCTTCAATATCCTATTTTCATTTTCTTCAGATATACACCGAAGAGCAGAATTACTGGATCATATGTAGCTCTATTTTTAATTTTTTAAGAAACCTACATACTGTTTTCCATAGTGGCTGCACCAATTTACATTCCCACCAACAACAAACAAGGTTTCCCTTTTTTCCACATCCTGCCAACACTTGTTATCGCTTGTCTTTTTGATGATAACCATTCTAACAGGTGTCAGGTGATGATACCTCAATGTGGTTTTCATTTGCATTTTCCTATTGATTAGTGATATTGAGCACCTTCTCATATACCTATTGACCATTTGTATGTCATTTTTGAAAAATGCTTTATTTAGTCCCTCTGCTCATTTTTTTTCTCTGACCATTTGTTAACTAGATTATTTGATTTTTCCTACTAAGTTATTTGGGGCGGGGGGGGTATTTTTTTTTAATTTTTAACATTTTTTTTTTTTGAGAGACAGAGACAGAGAAGGAGCAGGGGAGGGACAGAGACAGGAGGCACAGAATCCAAAGCGGGCTCTTGCCTCCAAGCTATCAGCACAGAGCCCGCCACACGGGGCTCAAACCCATGAACCGTTAAGACCGTGACCTGAGCCGAAGTCAGACACTTAACAGCCTGAGTCACACAGGCGCCTCACTATTGAGTTATTTGAATTCTTAATGTATTTTGGATATTAACCCCTTATCAGATATATGATTTGCAAATATTTTCTCCCATTCTGTAGGTAGCCTTTTCATTTTCTTGATCATTTCTTTTGCTGTGTAGACACTTTTCAGGTTGATGTAGTCCTACTTGCCTAATTTTGCTTCTTTTGCTTGTGTTTTGGGGTGTCATATCCAAAAAACTATTGCCAAGACCGATTGCAAGGAGTTTTTTTCCCTATGTTTTCTTAGTCCTTAACATAAGGGGCTGGACAACAGTCGGAATAACAGAAAAATAGGTGTTCTCCTCATTTTCCCAAAATACGTACGCACTCATTTTCACACACTTTTCTTTAAAAAAAAAAAATATTTATTTTTGGGAGAGTGCGAGCGGGGGTAGGGATCCAAAGCGGGCTCTGCGCTGACAGCAGCAAGCCCATTGGGGCTTGAAATCACAAACCTCCAGATCACGACCTGAACTGAAGTCAGATGCTCAACCGACTGAGCCACCCAGGTGCCCCTTCACACACTTTTAAATATTACTCCTGTAGCTTGCAAAAACATTCATTTGTACGCTGAGCATAAATCTGTCAGGGGTAACTGTAATGTTATGTCATTATTATTGATAGAGGTATTATCCTAAGAAAATAAGAGGAAAAGTGGCACAACCATAGAGTTAATAATAGAAGAGTTTCTAGAATAATTAAGACCCATGTAGAACCCCTGGAGTTGAAGGTGAGCTGGGTGAGAAGGTTAAAACTGCCTTTTGCTCTCCTCACTCCTGTTATAACCAGTGAATGCCTAAAGAAGAATATTTACTCCACTCATAGAAGAAGATCTTTAAGGCAATGAAAATAATTCTCTTTTTAGGAAGCATGGTTTCTAGGTTTCAAAGGAAACCCTTCGGAGAAAGGGCTATTCTTAGATTCTCTTCTAAAAGATTTTTTTTAATGTTGTTTTACATTTTAGATAAAATGATAATGTTCAACCTAGAATGTTTTGGAAAGCAAGGGAAGATCACAGACGAGCTAAGAAGGGGAATCCAGTTATGTCTCATTTGCTTCCAAGTGCCTGGTCCTTAAGAGAAATATGTAAGAAAGGTTCTGCCCCCACAGAGGCTAGAGATGGGCTCAGGCAGTAGCAAATCACCATTGTGTTATTTGCTTTTGCACACAGCATAGCCAATGTAGCGCCCTCTGGTGTTAGATTGGGAAAGCGGCTCCCATAAGAATTGGGCTTTGGGTCCCGGGGCTGACTCTACCACTTAACAACTCTGTGATTTGGAAAAGTTACTTAACCTCTCCGAATCTCAGCTTCTATTTATGTAAACTGAGATGATGGCATATATACTTCATGAAGTTGTGAAAATTAAGTAACATAACGCATTTAAAGTATCCAAGATGGCTGATCCGGATGCTGTGAGTACCAAATTAGTGCAACATAGTCATGATAGTTCTAGTAACGGTAGTTGATGTTTTTCATCTTCATCTATGACAAACTTGTGACTCTTCACTTCTATTTTCTGGTCATTCCCTCATCAAGGAAAAACTACGCCAGCTACGAGATTGCATCATTGGGAAAAGGCCAGAAGAAGAAAATGTCTCTGGTAAGTAAGCTTTGTCTGTTATTCAAAAATGATAGAGTGGAGTCAACCAGGCCTGAAGTCAAATCTGCACACCATCACTTCCCAGCTGCAGGACTGGAGAGCGTCTTAATGCCTGGTACTCAGGTTCCTGTCTGCAAAACAGGAGTGATTATAGATATATCTGGAAGGGGTTGTGTAAGTTAACATGTAGAACATTTTTCACCTTCATTGACCCAGAATGAACCTTCCATAAATGCTACGTTCTTTCCTTTGATTTCTATGAAAATTGCAAATAATTCCATTCCAGTTTACACATATATATATATATATATATATATATACATACATACATACACACACACACACACACACACATACACCATTATACAGATTACTGAATTATTAAGGAGTCATACTTTTTTAATAAGGTTGAACATTCTCAATATAGTCAGTTCACACAATTGTGCACATGTGGATCATTTTAAATTATAAATCTCAGGTTGCTTTCCCCTGCAGCTAGCATGCTTCTTGGCAATGCAGATTCCCCTTGCTAATAATTTACAGTCACTCTCACTGGAGGGGAAAAAACACTCGTTTTAATGCTAACACAAACCAAACATTATTAAGATGGTAAATCTTCTCCAAAGATAAATATCACATTCCAAAATTGAAAATAAATTATGTTGTCACTAGCAGACCACTCCTTCCCCAAGTCCTTACCCCTGCACAGATAATTAAAAACTAACAACCACTAGCAAAGCTTGAAATTTCCATCTTTTCCATTTTCAATAAGATTGCGTAGATTTTAGCTAGTGCTTCATGTTGAAACTTACCAGAAAAAAATTATTTTCATATTATTAAATTGTTTTCTACTCTTTCCTAGAAAATTCTTTAAGCTATCTTATAAATGGTTTCTAAAAACAGAAATACACGTTCTAAAATAATTAAGCTTATAAACACAGGGCTAATTTACAGATAACTGAGATCTACAGATCTCTGTTGTAATGTGGAAAAAGGTTAAAATTTTAACAATATAAAAAATTATATAGTAAAAAATATGTATACATACTTTGACTAAGGAATATTAAGTAGCAGTAGCAGCAGCTAATATTTGACTATCTACCATACATTGAGTATTATCTTTTTAATTTCTTATAATAACCCTTTGAGGTAGACATTATTACCAATTTATAAATAGGGAAACTGAGACTGTAAGAAGCCCAGGGTGCCTGGGTGGCTCAGTCATTAAGCATCTGACTTCAAATCAGGTCATGATCTCACAGTTCATGAGTTCGAGTCCTACATCAGGTGAGCACCAGCAATGCTTTGGGAGAACACAAGCCCCACTTTCTCTCTCTCTCTCTCTCTCTCTCTTTCATTCCCTCTCTCCCTCCTAGGATTCTCTCTCTCTGCCTCTCACTCACTTGTGCCCTCTCTGAAGAAAGAAAGAAAGAAAGAAAGAAAGAAAGAAAGAAAGAAAGAAAGAAAGAAAGAAAGACTAAAAAGCCCCAAAATGCACAGATTAGAAACTACAGCCTAATTCTTTTTTAATCCAAAGTCAATGCTTTTAAACACTGGTGTCTTAATTAGGAATCAGCTAGTTCCCCTTCTAACCAAAATGGGATAAGTAGTACCAGACAAACCCTCCCACCGTACACAGCACTAATGCTAGGCAAAAATATGAGGCAGTTGATTTCAGGGAGTAGGCAGTTAGCAGTCTAAGACTGTAATTCTAGTGACAAAATTTACGCGGTCGTACAAAGCAAGGCAATCCTGTTGAAATGAGGAGACATGAGCAGAATCCAGGGCAACCAAAGCTTCTGGAATGTCTGTGTGGGTCACTGAAAAGGAGGTAATTCTGTAGAGAAGTAGCTTCAGAGGGAGTGAGGGACTCCACAAGTCTGCGGCCAAGAGATGAGCAAGACCACTCATGCATACAAGATAACAGCTTCTGGACACTGAAAGCAGAACAGAGACACTAGAGTTTGAGCAGAACCAGGGAAAAGCCAGACTGGGGATGTTGGAGATTTTGCCCTGCCAGAGTGGAAAAATCTCCCTGACAACTTTGTTAAAACACCTGGTATCCTGCTGTGACATCCAAGAGATATAATGGTTAAAGACCATGACTTAGAGTGAGATCTCCTCTAGACCTGCACTAACAAACCTAAAACCAAACCCCTACAAGATACACATGGAAGGTAGTTTGTAGGCTCAGGCCCACTGCAGGCTTTAGAAAACACCTTGGGCTGTCTATAGGACAACACTGAAAACAGCATAAAACCAGGCCCATACAAGTTCATGCCAATAATCAAACTGCCTGCTAAAATAAGAACTTACACTTCTTATTAAAGGAATATTACAGAATCCAGAATATACAGCTGATTGTCTATAATTTCCAGTATTCAGTGTTTCCTAAAAATACTTTTCCTTAAAAAAAAAAATGGAAGACATACAAAGATGAAGAAAATGTTATTCATAGAAAAAGAAAGCTCTCAATAAAAACTGAAATGGTCCTATTGTTGATCTTAACAAACAAAGACTTCGAAGCAACTCTTATAAACATAGTTAAATTAATAAAAAAAAATATGTTGTTAAGGAGTGAATAAATAGGGAATCTATTGACATTTACAGGACATGACGTGGAAAAAAATTAGAGTACATGTTTGTTTAAGGTGTACATGGAAGGTATACCAAAATAGAACATATGTTGGGCTATTTTAAAAGTTTCAATAAGTTTCAAAACATTTGAAATCTTCAGAGTATGTTCTCTGAACAATTTCAGTCTTTTGAAATCTTATATTCTCTTACTACAACAAAAAGAAATTAGAATTTAAGAAATTAAAAATACCTCTCAAAATAGTTAGGAATTAAGTACATTTCAAAATAGCCCATAGGTCAAATAAGAAATCACAAGAAAATATTTCAACCTGAATGAATTATGAAAATACAACATATCAAAATGTGTGGAATGTAGCTAAAATAGTACTTAGAGGTAAATTTATGGCTATAAATATAACAGTAGAAAAGAAGAAAAGCTGAAGATCAGTGACATGGGTTTCCACTTCAGGAAACTGGAAAGTGGAAAGCAGAGGTAAGAGGAAAAACTGTAAAGCTCAGATCAAAAATCAATAAAAAATGAAGGAGTTGAACGATAGAAAAAAATTAACAAAACCAAAAATTAGTTATTTGAAAACATAACTAAAGTTGATAAAACTGACAAAAATGAACTGGAAAAAAGGGAAAGCGAGAGTAACCATATTGGGAAAGTGAAATGAGGCTATCACAACAGATCCTACAGACATTAAAAAGATACTAATGAAATAATAATTAACTTCTTATTTTTTTATTTTTTTTTAACGTTTATTTATTTTTGAGACAGAGAGAGACAGAGCATGAACGGGGGAGGGGCAGAGAGAGAGAGAGAGACACAGAATCTGAAACAGGCTCCAGGCTCTGAGCGGTCAGCACAGAGCCTGACGCAGGGCTCGAACTCACGGACCGTGAGATCATGACCTGAGCCGAAGTCGGACGCTTAACCAACCAAGCCACCCAGGCGCCCCTAATTAACTCTTTAAATGCCAATACATTTAACAACTTAGGCAAAAAGAACAAATTAATTAAAAAACAACACTTACAAAACTAAAAAGAATTACACTTCTCTGAACATATCTTTCAGAACGTACTTTCAGAACTTTGTTAATATTTTACATATTCAATAAAAATGAGTCTGGAAAGGGGGCAAAATGGAATAAGAGCAGAAGAAAATGAACCTACACATATTCCAAATAAAAAACATCCACACTGAAAGGAGACAGAAGAAAAACTAACATAAATATAGAAAATAGTATATTCCAAGGATAAAAATAAAAGAAAAAAGTCAATACATAAAAATGTATTCTGTACTCTAGTAAGTAGGCTTATTTCTCTATAGGAGTATAGGGTAGCAATTTCAAAACTGCCAGTTGTATATTCTAAGACTGAGTAAATAAATGTACTATGGATAGTAAGAATCAGATTTCCTATTGTCAAAGAAAGGGGTAACTACTAAAGAAAAAAAGAAGGTTGGAATGAATTCTATGCTTCTAAATTGGAATTGGAGGTAAAAATAACTCCTGGTTACGAATAGATAATATTACAAATAGATATAGAAATATAATTGTATATACGAACATATACATTTCTTTAGCCCTATCTGCTGAAAAGGCCTAGAAGCAATGACAGCCCAGCACCAATGAGCACCTGTAGCATCTAGATCCTAGTTTACAAAAGCAAATGGCCAGTAAACATGTGAAAATATGCTCAACACCATTAGTTAGGAAAATGCAAATTAAACTAAATATCAATACATAACAAGTATGATGGCTGGAATTTTTAGATATTGTTACAATAAAGTGATTAAGACATGGAAAGACTGGATATGCATTTCATACATTGTTAATGGAAGTAGAATGTGGTGTGATGACTTTGGAACAGTTAAATGTGCACCTACCTTATGGCCTAGACAAGCCACTCTTAGGTATTTTTCCAAAAAAAAAAAAAAATTGAAAACATTATGTGTATCCAGACTTATTCACAAAATTTATAGCAGTTTATAATAGCTAAATCATAAACAATCCTAATGTCTGAGGGAAGAAGACATAATTATACTCTAGTATATTCACACAGTGGGATATTACTCAACAATAGAAAGAAATACCTAGTATTACACACAACATCATGAATGAATCTCACAGATGCTATGCTAAATGAAAGATAATGAAACACAAAGGAATACATTGTATAAGATTCCATTAATCTGAAATTATAGATAAAACTAATCTATATCAATAGAAATCAGATCAGGGTCACTAGAGATAATGGTGGGATGAGGATTGATGTTGGAGGCACAAGAGGATTTTCTGTAGAGATGAAATGTTCTCTATCCTAACCGGGTGATGGGTACATGGGTGTATAGATTTGTCAAAAGTCATCAAAAAAAGTAATTTGTACTATATATACTGAATATTGTTAATCTGAAAAAAGAGTGGAGTAGCTCAGGCAAAAAAACTATCAAAGCATAGTAGCAACACTTTTATTAAGTGTCTAACATACCTAAAATCATAATACCAGACATCAAAAGGAAAATAGACAAACGTAGTCAGAGACATGGTTTCACACTTTGTAGTTGGAGATCATTATTTGTTTAATCAAACTGTGAGTTTTCATAGTTATCTCAAAGACAAGAAGTTGTCAAACAATAGAAAGAAGAAAGTTTAAGATAAATATTGAGCAAAACTCAGTAGAATGTGCTTTTTCTGTCTTCTAGATAAACTCACCATTGTGCACCATCCAAATGGTAAGTTTTTGGCATTTACTGAAGAATTTCAGACTACAACAAAGCACATGGTAAATCAGTTTCAGTGTTAATGTAAACCTAAAATAATTAGGCAGGCCAGTGCAAAAACTCACATAGATTTTATATGTATATACAAAACCACTTGACATCCAAAATAAATTTGAGGTGATTCTAGAAGAGCAATGTAGAAGCATTGTTAGACAATACAAGAAGCATGTGCTTTGAACTCTGATTGACCTGGCCCTTCACAACTTACCGTTATGGCCTTTGGGAAATCACTTAAGCTCTTTAGGCCTCAGTTTCCCCATGTAAGAAATCTGCCATGGGGAGTTTCTATAAAGGCAGATGATAATATGTGCAAATGGGAGCTGATGCTTGATAAGCGGGAGTTATTGACAGAGTAAATGGAATTGGAGTAACACTTCAAAGGGTGATTCACGTCAGCGTGGTAAGTAGGAATGTGTGCAGAAGGTTGGCAAGATCAAGAAGAGCCAGAGGCCAGCTGGGGAGCTCTGACTAATCTAGAAGCAATTGTCCACATTCTGAACCAGAACAGTGACTGTGGGAATGGAGAAGAGCAATAGAACTGAGCCACGTGGCTGACGGGTGGAAACTGGAAAGCCTGTGGTAAAGGCAGGAGGAGCGGTGGCCAATGGGGAGTAGTAGGAACAAGTTTTCATAAGACGGCATACCTTGTGATTGACTGATCGTGGTCAATGGAGAAAAACAAAAAAGAAGAAGGCATCATTTAGTGAGGGCTGTTATTCAAAGGTGTGGGATTGTTTCTGAGCTGAAGCAACTCCTCTCTGTGTCCTGTAGTCAACTATCTGGGCAGGAGAAATTAATAGCATCCTTGCCAAGGGTGCCTTTTCAATATTCCCTTTTTATCTCTTCAGTAGCTTCTCCTTACCCAATATACGCTACTCATAGCATATATTATTTTTTTAAAGTACCGAATAAATGAATCATTAAATATGTGAACAGCTGAAGAAATAGTAACAGAGTTTATATTTCTAGGTAACGAGAGTGCCCGCAATGAAAATATGTTATATAACACACCCTTCCGCAATAAGGTAGGTTGTATTTATGTTAATTTCTATAAAATGCAAAAAAAAAATAACTTCTTTGTTGAGAAAGAATATGAGCCTTCTATCCTGACTATGCTTTGAAACGTTTCAACAAATATGAACAAAATAGGTTACATAAGCGTTTGTGTGCAAATTACTGTATGAACAGTAATTTAAAAGAATTAACTATTTAGAAAAAAGCAAAGAAGGAACTCAAAGGAAAAAGGCACCAAGGCCAAAGTATGGCTGAATTCAACATGTACAGACCAAACAAATCTTAGAGGAATCATGGATACATCTTTTTTAGCAATAGTAATATGGTAAGTCTATTTGAACCACAATGTATACAGTCCTTAAAGTCTAGCTGTAGGAAAAAATGTAAACCCAAAACATCATTCCTGTAAATATGCGTCACTTCACATGTAGAGTTAACTGAAAATGAATTGCTAAAAATAACGCTAAGCAAAGAGAGCAGCAATTGAAAAACTAGTTCAAGACAATAATGATAACATCCTGACCACCAATTTTTCTTCAAAAATAAAGCGTGTCTTCTAACTATCTACATATGTGATGTCGGAAATGTTCATTGTTACCCAGGGTCATGTGGCTGCTGGAGTCCTTGTTACACTCCAGAATTAGAGCCCATGGTCATTTCTCACAATGAACCAATTTTAGTTGACCAAATCTCAATAACCCTTTAAGCTCTCCTATGTTTTAAATAAATCATAAGGAATCACCAAAGTCATTTACCCTTAAGAACTGATCGAGTGTTTGCATTTCTGGATCATCCTGTGGCCCACCAGTGAGCTGCACATCTAATGAGTCTCCAGGGAACAGACTCAGTAGACTCACTGGGCTGTAGCAGAATCATGGGATACTACCTAGGCCTCTGAGTTTATGAAAATATACCTGTCAAACAAAGATCCTTCTACAACATCTGAAGGACTATGCAGCCATGGCATATTTTTTAGAACACTATTTGGGGTAAGAGGAGAAGAATACAAATTCCTAGCCCTTAGGCTATTCTCCCTCCAAATAAAATACAACTTGAACTCAAGGACTTTGCTGTAGTTGAGTTTTACAGTTCTTTCCTTTTAAGATAGAGGACTGTTTTCCCAGTTGCCTCTATAAAGCTATTTTCCTGTGAAAGGCAACCATGACTTTATCATGTTCCTTTGTTTGGCCTTAAAATGGAGAAATGCTAGCTCTGTATCTTTTTTTGTCTTTTTTTTCTTAGCTTCCTACTCGACTCCAAGCTGAAAAGGAATTTGGTTTCTGTTGCAGGAAAGATTACTAAAGAAGGTAAAATATCAGCTATATATTTTTTTTCAGCTATATTTTTCAGAAAGCTTAAGGCAGGCTTATTAGGGACTTGAAGGAACCATTTGTCTAGCAAACAGAATACTTTAAATATTTCATTGTCTTCTGAAAGGATAAACATGTGTATTTTTCAAGCTAAAGGTGATTGTTCCTTAGAAAGATTTATGTATAGGGGTGATTTTATGCTAGCTAATCAATTTCAATTGATGACCCATTATTCACTAATACATTTCCTGTGATCTCACTTTCAGGTTATTATAATGAAACCCAAAAATCTGCAGACACTGTGCTTTCTGGGTGAAGCATGCTTGCATTTGGATTGCCTGCTGTCTTCAGGGAAAATACTATACTACAAAAGCAGAGGCAAACCTCTGGATTTCAGAATTTGTCATTGCCACGATTTATTGGCATTAACCTGCTTCAGATAGGTACATCAAGATTCAAATTGAATGCCATAGAGTGATTGCATTCTTTGACAGTTCTTGCATTTTACAATGCATTTTGCCACTGAAGCAGCTGTTCCCCATTTTGAAAATTAAGGGAAAACAAAAACAGAGAGGTGAAAACTTCTCTGTAGCAAAGATATTGTGCCTGTTTGAAGCACTCACCTGAACAGTTTAGTCCTTACTCCTTACCTACTGTCTTTAGAATGACCATGAAAATACACATTTGTTATAGATATATATGCTTTTTAAGTTGCTGGTCCATTTTCTGAATTTCTGACATTCAAATCTCTAATTATTATTGCTATGTTTTCAGAAACCTTCTCTTACTTAGTGCCTATTTGCATGTAACCTTAAGAATATTATTTCTTAACATTCTATAACTCAAATTAATATACATTTCCACAACCTACATTCTTTAAAAGGCTTACAATTTCAGCAACCTATTTCTTAAAAACAACTTACTAGTGTAGAATAGAATGCAGTGTTACCATTCTGTGATTCCCATGCACGATTCCTGCAAATAAAATGAATGTTTAAAACTGTGTCTGACTTTCCAAAATAAATGCATAATAATTAACCCCTAAATTCTTCTGCTTACCAGTTTTCAGAAGGAAGCCTCCTGAAAAAAAATTTTAAACTCATTTGATTTCACTGTGTAGTCCCCATAAAGTAAACACACAAACGATTTTGTCTAGCTTCTCAACATTGATGGGAATATCTATTTTAAATGATTCTGCAAAATATTGATCACAGGTTTCTCATGACTATTAACATTCTCAAATAAGCTCAAGGTTTAAAAAATAATACATACATTTGATTCATCCCTAATAGAAGATGCTTTCATCATGACATTTTGAAATCTAGTCCATAGTTTCACATGCAAGCTTTCAAGAAATGGCATGGCGTTCCACACACTGAGCTCCCATTTGTGTGGACTGTCCCACCCAAAGAGTTAAGGAAAGCAGTAGGAAAACTGACTGCTTTTATATAATTTTCCCCATCTCTAAATTCAAATATACGTATTATCTCTAAAGTAAGAACATCTATATAGGCCTGTGACTGATACCTAATAGTTTCACCATTGGCTTTATTGTTATTAAAATGTAAAATCCAGTGACAGGTAAAATGTCAACTTTTCTAATTATAAAACAATTAGATTGTCTCTTACCTGACAGTCAGTTAAGGGTGTAAGAGGAAGACGAGGCTTGAATATTATTCAGGTCTTTAACATAGACAGAAATCTAAAATCAGGGCCTCCAAATACTACTCTTATGAACTGGACTAACTTAGAATAAAACCATGCAAAAAGCCCCCTTAATAGCCTTTTTCCCAAGAAACTCTGCCCTTGAAATGTTACCACTTCGTCATCACAAACAGACATGGAAAATAGAACCCTAAAAATAACTGAGGGCTTCCTCATTTTGCCTCTACCATGGCTCCTCCCATCCTTGACTGATTTGAAAGATGGTTAGAGAAGGTTGGAGTTGGGGGATCTGGAGGAATCCATATCATTACCTGTCGCCCTGGAGGAAGAGATGAAAAGTAGAATACAAGCGTGGAGGAAACTAATCCAAATTTAGGAAAGACCCCAACTGAAAATGCCCCATGGAAGCAGTGTTTTTTCATCTCTGGACTCCATCCCTAATATGTAGAATAGTGTCCATTCACCATGAGCCACACAATAGAAGCTTTGCATTCATGATAGAAGAGATCAGAGGACAAGACAAAGGAGCAGGGGAATAGACTAGGAAGATGTGAACTTTCCTTGGAGATTTGGGGGCATTTCTCAGAGAGCCCTAACCACTGCTAGAAGGGGAAGACCTACAGGAGAGATCTTTTGAAGATTGTGTGCTGATTCCGGAAGCCTGAGCAGCCAGTAGCTAATATACCTTATCTTTCCCATCATCCCTTTCTTACATCGGGTTGGTTTCCAAGCCATTACTCCTAACTTTTGCCAAAACCCAGCCCCTTCCTCAGGTTCTTAATTTACCAGAACTCTGTCTTCTAAAGAAATTTGAACTGGCACTGAATATAATCAGAGTTTTATGTTTAATATTAATTCCCTTATTTTCTACCTAGTCAATTCACTAGGATAACAAAGAGGAAGCATGTAGACCAATGGTTCTTAACTGGGAAATTTTGCTTCCCTTGCCCCAGACTTTTGGCAAATCTGGCAGCATTTTTTATTGTCATGGCTATGGAGAAGGTGTTTCTGGCCTCTGGTGTATAGAGACAAGTGATGCTAATGAACATCCTATAATACCCGAGGCAAAGAATATCCAGTCCAAAATATCAGTAGCACCAAGGTTGAGGATCCCTGATCTAGACTAGACAGTAAAATAGGATTAACACTTAAAAGAGTGTTGTTAAAATAAAAATTTAACTTTATACAGAATTTTCTGAAAATTCTGAAATTAGAAGCCCCTACGATAGTACAAATGAATGTCTTTGTTTTGAATTGCATATGCCTTAAGCTTAAATGGATAATTAAATACTCTAAAGAATGGATGACTCTAATATAATTTCATAAATCAAACATTCAATTAAATAATAGAGACTCCAATTTTTAGAAAATGAGACTATTCTCGGTATTGTTCTAGTAAGTATAACCTTGTAATTTGAGTCATTATTATATCCTATTTGTACACTAAGTATTTGCTCATCTGAATTCCTTGTTTCCTATAATGCTATGGGGTCTGATTTTAACAATTTGGACCTACCTGAATTTTACTGCCTCCTGCTTTTCTAAATGGGTAAATATTTAGGAGAGAGGTCAGCACCATGACCTGATCTACTAGGTCCCAGCTGATTGGCTCAGAGCAGGTATAAGGCCTTACTTGTAGCTCTTTGTGTAGCTGTACTTGCCAGCCATCTTGTTGGCCTACCTTATTTTGTGGGGCTGACCTTTAAAGGCAGGGACTACCATATAAAAAGGTAAGATTCTCAATATAATTGACCTCAAATTTGTAAATTACAGCATATGATTTTCTCAACATTTTTGTCTTCAAAATGCAGACAATGCTTCTAATATAATTTCCTGGTTATTAAATGACATCAGATATTTATATAAGCAGTGCAGTACTTCATTCAAGAGCATGGGCTTTGAGGGAAGACTGACCTAGTTTGAATATTGGCTGAGCTATGTCCTACCTGTGCAAAACCAAGCCAGTTTTCAGTCTCTTGAGCCCCATTTAATCATTGGTAAGGGGAGGTTATAATACCAATGTTAGCACAGATTGTCTGAAAATTAAATGGAAGGAGATCATTTAATTAATTTATCATCCAAGAGGGCAGTTTTGATGGTAAAATGGAGTAGCATTAATGATTACGATAGAAAAGCAGGTATAAACTGCGTCTACTCCAAGCATAAACTGGAATATGTGGGCGGTCTACTTAAATGAGATGTAAATGTTTAGAACATTTTGGCTAGGAGTAAATAATCAGTGAAAATGGCTTGCAAGAAAATAATCCTCTGTGAAATGTGAATACTGTGTGATACACTAGGCTGGCTTGTTATTAAGCATACTCTTCCAGCATATGACTAAAATCTATATCATTATTTAAAAAAAAACCAGTAACGGGGCGCCTGGGTGGCGCAGTTGGTTAAGCGTCCGACTTCAGCCAGGTCACGATCTCGCGGTCCGTGAGTTCGAGCCCCGCGTCGGGCTCTGGGCTGATGGCTCGGAGCCTGGAGCCTGTTTCCGATTCTGTGTCTCCCTCTCTCTCTGCCCCTCCCCCGTTCATGCTCTGTCTCTCTCTGTCCCAAAAATAAATAAACGTTGAAAAAAAAAATTAAAAAAAAAAAACAAAAAACAAACCAGTAACTACAAAGTGTGGAATGACCACCTGGATCACCCAGAAAGATCAAAAGCCTTGAGGTGGAAAAATCCTTCAAAATCCTGTAAAATACTACAGCAGTGTTTCCCAAGTTGTATTAAAAAGACCTCAGGGATACTGCATTAAAAAGGGGCTCTGTGACCAAGTGACATTAGAAAGTTCTGTGTATTTTAGTCCTTTTTAGAATAGCATATTAGACTATTAGACATCCAAGTACTGAAGACTAAGTAATCCTGCAATAAAGTCTATATAGTTTGAAAAATACTGACTTTCATTTTATGTAGATGTAAGCTGGCCTCATTTTCCACATAATGGGAAAGAAAAACTGGCTGACGGATGCCTACAATGATGTGTTTAGATGGAGCCTGAAACTTGGGTTTAATGGGAAAGATCAAGATCAATTAATGATGTTTGCCATGGATAATGGTAATCGGAGGGGGGTGGTGAGGAGAGTGGTGGCATGCGTGATACTTCCTTGGCATTCAGGATTTGCATTTGGATAGCATAAAGCAAAATATTACATTCTGACATCTTCAAGTGACAAAAGTCAATTTCAGTCAGAATGAAGATCACTTGTCTTTAAAGGAATGAGTTAGTAGACATGTCTCTGAGTAGAACACTGTAATTTCTGCATAATTCTTTGCATGTCTTCAAATCAACATCAAGCTTGGTTCCACAAAGAATTGGCGCAAGGCCATTTGGAGATGTTGTGCATTTAAATGTAGCAAACACTGAAGCAATATCTGTGTCCATGGAAACTAGTGGGATAGTTTTGCTCAGAGAGCCTTTTTGGCCTGTTTAGCAATAAGTGACCCTGAGAGAGAGAAATTAGCTCTCAGCAAATGAACCAACAATCTCTTATGGATGGTCTCCTTCATTTCTCAGGGTGTGGATGGACATGCTATACCAACTATGATAAAGGTGATAAACTTTTGCCCCCAGCACTTTCTCTTTTCTTTATTTGAGCAAAACAGACACAGAGATCCCAGGAAGTATGAACCGATGCTGCTTTCGCATTCATGCCTGGCACTTACTGAAAGCATCTACAGTTACACTAAGGAGCCTTAAGGATCCTCACAAAACATTGACAATTTGTCACAATGTTGTACAATGAGGCCTTCTATAATTCAGACATGGCAAGTCAT